TGGTGACCGTGGCCTCGCTGCCCGTCGACCTGCCGGCCTTCCTCAGACACCTGCTGGCTAAAGGAGCGCTCATCAACTGTGCCAACTGCCAGGTACGCTGAGAGCGGAGGGGAGGAACCTGACGTAGTTGGTGGAGATGCTGTCTAACCTGCGGGCCGACAGGAGCAGACATGTTCTCCTGGAGGTGTTCTGTGGAAATACGTCTTCATGGCTTTTCTCTCTCCCTGGTTCTTCTTCCCTTCAGGGTCCTCTGGAACAAAGGAATGAACTGGGGATCATGTTCAGACACGCCTACTCCCTGACTGCAGTTGAGAAGGTAGATGTCCCCGAACCAGGATCAGGAGAGTCCGTCCTCTGTCAGGTGGGAACGACTCACGGCGCCCAGTATTTGGTGAGGATCCTCAACCCCTGGGGCAACACTGAGTGGGAGGGACCCTGGAGTGACCTGAAGGGGTTAGTCTTCACTCAGACTCAGACTGTGTCCATCTGTCCATCTGCGTCTCATCAGTGGAGACAGTGGCGCTGAGAAGGACGGTTTCAGGCGGACTCACGTCTCCATCTGTCTTTTCATGAGTTTGGTGAGAAGAGAAATGTGTCTTTACTGACTCGCCGCCGTCTCTGCTTTCAGTCCTGAGTGGAACACGGTGAGCGAGGAGGAGCAGAGACGACTGGACCGGGTCAGCCGGGAGGACGGAGAGTTCTGGTGAGTCCTGGTAGAGTCCAGCTCCTCTGAGAGTGGACTCTTAGTGTCCACCCTCTGCAAACAGAACATAAAGCAGCAGGACATCTCAGACCTGAAGGGTCCACTCAGACTTCAGCGCCTCAGTGTAACCCCCAGTTTTCACGACATCCAGAACTGCTCCGATCCGGAAGAGCAGCGATTTTCGCCGTCCGCCGATTCCTACCGAATCCGTTTGTGAGGTGAACGTCGTGGAGGATTACAGACAGCAGGAATCACAGGAACTCACAAAAACCCACAGATTCATGTTCAATCTCTCGATAACGAGTCGTCTCTCTAAAGACAGACACATAGACATATAAGCAGTAGATTGTGTCCTTCCAGAGGAGGAAATCTACTTCTAGACTTCTAGAATCAGCATCTCCTCATCCATGGTGTCATCGGGGTGAAATGACGTCTAAAAACCTTTCACTTGTTCGTCTCCGCCCGGAGTGTTTTATTTTGAAAAGAAGCCGGATGTTTTATTTTGTGTCTGTGCCCGACTTCCTTTCCAGAGGTCGGTGTAAATTGACCCGTTAACTTGAATGGTTTCGATCTGCCAGGATCATGTTTGACTTTCTCAGTTCCTCTCCTCACCAGGATGTCGGTGTCAGATTTCCGACAGAACTTTGAGATCATGGAGGTCTGTCACCTGTCCGATACTCTGAGCAAACCCGGCTCCAAAGTGCGTCCGTGGTCCTGCATAATGCATCATGGGAACTGGGTCCCCCACGTCACAGCAGGAGGCTCTCCGATGGGCGGTAAGACTCACGATGATACATGATGACCTTAAAAGGAGCTTCCTGGTTCAGAGTGATGGTAGCGCTCCTGATCCGGGTTCAAGTCTCTTCAGGTCCATGTTCTGCTTCTTGTATGAAAAGTTGGTGTGTTTGGGTTTTCAGGGAGGTTCTGGCAGAACCCTCAGTTCTACTTCGTCCTGTCGGAGGTGGACAGCGGCAGAGACGGACCAGAGAAGACCTGCACCTTCATCCTGGCTTTAATGCAGAAACACCAGAGACGCAGGGGAGTGAACCTGTCTATAGGCCTGCACATCTACCCGGTACACGCACACACACACACACACACACACACACACACCTGATGAGATCTGAAGCTCAGCTGAGACCTGAGACGACCCTCATGGTGGTTTATCTGTGTCCTCTGTAGGCTCACAGCAGGAACAAGTACCTGTCCCCTGAGGACCTGAGTCGGCTCCAGCCGGTCCTCTACAGTCCCCAGTACTCCACACGCCGGGAGGTCGTACTCCGCAGCTCTCTACCTCCGGGTCCTTATATCATCGTCCCCTCCACCGCCGAGCCTGACCAGCAGGGGGCGTTCCTCCTACGGGTCCTGACCGAGCAGGGAAACAACGCCAGGTGAGTACTGGACCAACAGAGACCCGAAAACAGGATAAGGAGGGGGGTACACAAGGGTACACAAGAGTACACAAGAGTACACAACAGTAAACAACAGTACACAGAAGTACACAGAAGTACAGAGAAGTATTCTGAAGTGTCTTTCTGTTTTCTCCAGTCCAGCTCACAAACCAGCACCACCAGACGTCTCCTCAGCGTCAGAGGTAAGAGATGATATTAGAAATTTAATTACATCGTTTCTGCTAGTAGTTTGCTCTCAGCATGTTATATAGATATTCATATAAATATATGTACACATATATATATATATATACATACATATATATGTGTACATATATATGTACATATATATGTATATATATGTGTGTACATTTATATATATATATATATGTATGTACATATATATATATATATAAACATGCTGAGAGCAAATGTTTGAAGAATAAATCTGAGACTTCAGAGAAGGGTTATTATTTGGGAGACGCCCCACACTGTTGTTGTGCAGGTTTGTGCTAGAACACACACACACACACACACACACACACACACACACACACACACACACACACACACACACACACACACACACACACACACACAGCAGCTTCCAGGACGAGCGCCAACATGCATCAGTCCAGATAATTCAGAGATAAATGTTTTTGTGTTCCAAGTGTCTCATGATAACCTGAGTTCATGTTCAAATACAGACGCTCGTCTAAAACACTCATCAGGCATTCATGAACTTTTCTGCTCCTTTTTTGCTTCTTTTTTGCTCCTTTTTTGCTTCCTTTTTGCTCCTTTTTGCTCCCTTTTCTGCTCCTTTCTCTGCTCCTTTTTTGCTCCTTTTTGCTCCTTTTTCTGCTTCTTTTTTGCTCCTTCTCTGCTCCTTTTCTGCTCTTTTTTGCACCTTTTTCTGCTTGTTTTTTGCTCCTTTTTTGCTCCTTTTTGCTCCTTTTTCTGCTTCTTTTTTTGCTCCTTTTTGCTCCTTTTTCTGCTTCTTTTTTGCTCCTTTTTTGCTCCTTTTTTTGCTCCTTTTTCTGCTCCTTTTTTGCTTTTTTTTGCTCCTTTTTTGCTCCTTTTTTGCTCCATTTTCTGCTCCTTCTCTGCTCCTTTTTTGCTCCTTTTTGCTCCTTTTTCTGCTTCTTTTTTGCTCCTTTTTTACTCCTTCTCTGCTCTTTTTTTGCTCCTTTTTTGCTCCTTTTTCTGCTCCTTTTCCGCTCCTTTTTTGCTCCTTATTTGCTCCTTTCTCTGCTCTCTTCTGCTCTCTTCTGCTCTGAGGGTTTTTCAGCTGATCTCCTGTTTCTAACGTTGACTGAAGAGGTTGGTCTCGTGAATTCTGACTCTGTTCTGTCCTGCAGCTCCGGTTTCCTCATCAGGCCGCTCTTCCTTCACCTAAATCCACCAAACTACTCTTTAAGAAGCACTGCAACAAGGTGAGGTCTACCTGCTCACAGCTCCTTTAGGTCCAGACCTGAGCAGACTGAGCAGGTCTGGACCAAAGTTCTCCATTAGATGACACTCCTCAGAGCTGCCGTGAACTCCACCTCCGAGCAGCTGTGTGTGTGTGTGTGTGTGTGTGTGTGTGTGTGTGTGTGTGTGTGTGCATGTGTTACTGGGTCCTGGTTCCTCTGTGGTCACCGTCTCCTTCTCTGCTCCCACAGAAGGGCTTCTGTAAACCTCTTCATCTCCACAGTCTGCTGACTGAAGCCATCCAGGGAGGAGGTCAGTCATCTTCTGTTTTTTTTTAGGAGGTTCAATCTTCTGGTCGGGTCGGGTCAGAACATCAACATTATGGTTCTAGAGTGATCCACCATGACTCTCAGGGACCTTTGGCTCTTTTTCATCTGTTGGACTTTTTTCAAGTCCTGAACCATCTCAGCTGGGGTTCCTCGGGTTCTCCAGTTTCTGGACCCCTGCAGGTCTTTCATGGTTTTTGCAGAGGAGTCGGGTCACATGACCTCAGTCAGAGAAACCGGTCAGACTGGGTTTAGACGCTCCCTCCCCTCCGTTCCCTTTAAACAGCAAAATTAATGTCTGATCTGTTGTCATGGAAACCAGACACCTTTCACCAGGAGTCTTCAGCAGCTTGAAAATCTAGAGACCAGTTTGGTTGGTGGTTTTGGATCTGCCGGTCTGAGTGAGGTGGATCTGGTTTTAATCCGCCCCCTTAAACCCGGTTTGTTTGATCCGGTTACAGGATTAAACAATGACAGCAGAGCGCCATGCTGAACTATCATTGGCTGATTCAGTCAGCTGACCTCACTGTGTCTGGATGAGGGTGTCACTACCTGATCCGTCCCAGAAACCCGATTTGCACCGCGCATGTGCAAAATGTAAGTCACTCCCTCTACTCGCCATCTTTGCGACAGCTTCGACATCAGCGAGTTCGCTTCGGTTTATCGATACTTCGGTTTATCGATACTTCAGTTTATCGATACTTCGGTTTGACGATACTTCAGTTTATTGATACTTCAGTTTATCGATACTTCGGTTTATCGATACTTTAGTTTATCGATACTTCAGTTTATCGATACTTCGGTTTATCGATACTTCGGTTAATCGATACTTCGGTTTATCGATACTTCGGTTAATCGATACTTCGGTTTATCGATACTTCGGTTAATCGATACTTCGGTTAATCAATACTTCAGTTTATCGATACTTCAGTTTATCGATACTTCGGTTTGTCGATACTTCGGTTTGTCGATATTTTAGTTTATTGATACTTCGGTTTATCGATACTTCGGTTTATCGATACTTCGGTTTATCGATACTTCGGTTAATCGATACTTCAGTTTATCGATACTTCAGTTTATCGATACTTCGGTTTATCGATACTTCAGTTTATCGATACTTCAGTTTATCGATACTTCAGTTTATCGATACTTTGGTTTATCGATACTTCGGTTTTTAACAGCCACACTTTTCTGTTTTTATTTCACAGGTTCACTTGTTGCCCAGTTTTCTTCTCCAGGATTTTGCGTCTTCAGTTTCATCGTTCAGATAATCGTGTTGTTATTATTCTGTGTTTGAGTGTTTTTTTAATTTTCTGACTAATATCCCTGATGGGAGATGCCCCCCCCACCCTAAACCTCTGACTTCTCACACTTCCACACACACTCACACACAGTCCCCTCCACACAGAGATAGTTTGGGTTTGTTACACAGTTTCTGAATCGTGTGAGTCCTGAGAATATTGCAGTTTGTCGTTCTTGTACCCTGATGTCTCTGGGTGACATTTGGCCAAAAGAAAGTATATCATGGAGGCGTAAATTGCAGTAAAATGTGTATTTTTTGTGATTTAAAGAAAGAGCTGCAGTGACTTCCATGTTGGTCTAAGATGAACACATATAGGCTTCAATGAAATCCACAAGGGTCCCCTTTAAAATGAAACCAAACAGTCTGGTGTAAAATAAATGAAATAAATCTCCTTGATACTTAAAAAAGTCAGAGAACCATCATTTTGACCAGGCGGTGGCGCTCTCTGCGGCCCAAAAGGTCTCACCGTCCTGGGCAGGAGCTCTGGAGAATACCTCTGCGTTAGCTCAGGAGCCTCCGGTTAGCGAGCCTGTCACATCGCCATCTTTACACTGGTCCCCCCCCTCTTTGGTTCCTGTCCCACCGAGAGACCTCCTTCAGTTTTCAGTCCAGTGAGAGGGAAAACCAATACCAGGACTAGAGAATCCTCCTGATGTGGTCCTTTCTTGTCTAACGTTGGTCTTCTGTCTGTTTGTAGTTCTGGCCGGCAGTGAGAAGAACCTGGTTCTGGAGCACTGCAAGAGCATGGTGGTCCTCATGGATGTATCCTTGAACCATGATCCCACAGAGTCCCAGTCTGTTTGTGCCCCTCGTTGGGCTCCTGTAGACCTGGTTTTTCTTTGACCCCGGTCTTTCCAGAGTCAGGGGATCGCTCAGCTGAACTGGCCCGAGTTTCAGAGTCTGTGGGACAAAATCCGGAGGTGGACGGTGAGCTGAGACCCCCTGAGAACAGTTCTGGGTCTATACTGTGAATAGATGTACAAACACTAGATGACTTAATGTCTCCGGAGCAAAGATCATGTTAGGGGTTCTGGTCCGGGTTGTGGGTCTGAGATGAAGATGCTGAAGGACTCTTGAACAGAGTTCAGGAGATCTTCAGGGTCCTTCAGCACTGGTTCGGGTCTCAGTCTAGAGTCTTGAAGTTTCCTCTGTGCGCTCAGATCACGAACAGCGCCCCCTCCCTGAAAATACCACTGCAGATCTGAACTCCACCAGGACCCTGAACCCCTCTGCAGACCCGGGTCCCTCTGACACTGTGGTTTTGTTAATCCGGTTTATGTTCAAGTCTTGATGGTCTGGTTTTGGTCTCTTCTCAGGATATCTTCATGGTCTTCGACAAAAACAAAACTCAGCGGTTGGAGTATCCGGAGGTGGCCCCGGCCCTGAAGGCGGCAGGTAAGACCCTGCTGAGCTGGTCCCGGCAGGCTGAGTCTTAGACATGGACCGTCCTCTGGGGTCTGTGGTTTAGGCTGGCTGTCATTACACGCTGTGACCTGCAGGGGGGGCTCAAACACCTCCTAAGTTTTTCTCTCTTGTTGTCCGTGAATGAGGGACTTACTCAGAGTCCAGTCCTGAAGGATCCTCAGAGTCCAGTCTCTCTCAAACCCTCAACAGAACCTCTAAACTCAGAGTTTGTTGTTTGTTTTTGTTGAACAGCTGATTTAACTTCAGGTCGTTGACCTCTCTCTCTGTTGAAGACCCTCTGCTCAGTTCTCCTCCCAGAACCCTGTCAGGTACGTGGACTAACCATCTGACCACAGGAACCAGAGAACACAGAAGCCCGTCTGGGTTTGGTCCGTCAAACCCAGAACAGCTGGAGTCTCTCAGCTGTTCATTTTTCTTCACTGACTTCCTGTTTACTAAATCAGAGATGACCCGCACTCCCCTATTAACCCCCGTCACAACAGAGCCCTTTGTCACCAGACCCCTCTTCTCTGTCGCCCCCTGGTGGTCAAATAAAGACCAGGATTTCAGATCTTCAGAGTCTCTCTGTAGTCTCCTATCAGCTCTGAAGACAAAGAGAGCTCCTCAAACATGAGGGAGGAGAACTGAAGGAGAACTGAAGAAGGAGAAGAAGAAGAAGAAGGAGAAGAAGGAGAAGAAGAAGGAGAAGAAGAAGAAAAAAAAGTGACAGATCCTCGATGAAAATTCTGGACAGTCAGTGATTCCTGTTAGAGTAAACACTGAACTGTGTGTGTGTGTGTGTGTGTGTGTGTGTGTGTGTGTGTGTGTGTGTGTGTGTGTGTGTGGTTCTGACCCGTGTTCGTCTCTCCTTCAGGGATCATGGTGGATGATCTGGTGATGCAGCTGGTCGGACTGAGATACACCGAGCCGGACATGACCATCAGTTACCCTGGATTCCTCTACCTGCTGCTGAAGCTGGAGAGCATGATCCGTAAGTGTGTGTGTGTGTGTGTGTGTGTGTGTGTGTGTGTGTGGGTGTGTGTGTGTGTGTGAGTGTGTGTGTGGGGGTGTTTACAGCAGCAGGCTGTGGAGGAGGAGATGTTAGAGACGAGAACATGTTTGAATCCATTCAGTCCCACTTCTCCTGCCAGGAATTATCCACGTCCCAGAGAGGAGTTTACATCTCCAACACACCAACCGAACATCTGCAGGAGGAACAGAAACACTGTTTCAGGTGGTCTTCTTCTGAATAACTGAGACCTTTCTGAGACCTCGGAGGTCTGAATGAAACAGAAACACTGAGATGTTCTGATGTTTCCACTGAGCCGGTCTTTTTCTCATCTGTGGTTCTGAGTTTTCAGTCCAAACCTGGACGTAGGTGACCTGACCTCGGGGGTGGTCTTAGTCTACAGTCTGGTCCATCGCAGGTCCAGGTCTTTCTCATGTTCTCCTCTTGGTTCTCTCCCTCAGATAAGTTCCAGGCCTTTGACATGGTGGGGATGGGAACAGTGACGGTGAGCTACAGACAGGTGAGACCACAGATCCACGTCCAGATCTCCATCTCAGTTCAGGAGCTTCATGCTGGAATCAGACATGAAGATCAGGTGATTCAGCTTTTCTCTTCTCTGATTGGTTCCAGTGGCTCCACATGACCATGTACAACTGACCTGACCCAGAGGCTCAGAGACCGTCATCATCGTCATCGTCAGGGTTCTCCTGGTTTGGTCTGTTTTGGTTTTCTCGTGTCCGTGCAGATCAGTTTTCAGACATTTGTTAGTGATCAGAGGGGGAACAAAAAAACGATCCATCACAGAAACAGCAAATGAAAACGTCCAGATTAAAACTTTGAGACTCAAACTTCAGACTTTTTCCTCCTGCTTGATCAAAAGTGGCTGAAACAGGGATGCGGTGCTGGGGTCAAAGGTCAGAGAGATTAGAGGTCGTAAAGGTTATTAGTCTGAGTGTTTTTAAAGATGTGTCGTATATTTTTACCGTAAATAAAATGATAAAGCAGCCGCCCTGCTGACTCTGACCTAGAGAGAGAGAAAACCTTTATTTACACTTCCTGTCAGACGAGGACGACTCTGTTTTCAGTTGAATTCATTTCATTTTGTAACTCCCATCATGCATTTCTCTACTGTTGTGGTTGGTTGATTTTGTTCCTGTTAGTTACAGTGAAGTGAGCCGATCAATAAATGATAATTTCATTATTACTACTGGTGAGACGTTTCAAACATTTTATATAAAGGTTTCATTTTTATTATTTCTTTGGTTTTCCTCTTTTTCACCCTAAAAAAGACTAAAAAAGAGAGAGAGACTATATCAAACTGTAATAAACAGTAATAACTATATTAAACTGTAATAAACAGTAATAACTATATTAAACTGTAATTAAACTGTAATAACTATATTAAACTGTAATAAACAGTAATAACTATATTAAACTGTAATAAACAGTAATAACTATATTAAACTGTAATTAAACAGTAATAACTATATTAAACTGTAATTAAACAGTAATAACTATATTAAACTGTAATAAACAGTAATAACTATATTAAACTGTAATTAAACAGTAATAACTATATCAAACTTTAATTAAACAGTAGTAACTATTAAACTGTAATTAAACAGTAATAACTATATTAAACTGTAATTAAACAGTAATAACTATATTAAACTGTAATAACTATTATAACTATATCAAACTGTAATAACTATAATAACTATAGTAACTGTAATTAAACAGTAATAACGATATCAAACTGTAATTAAACAGTAATAACTATATCAAACTGTAATTAAACAGTAATAACGATATCAAACTGTAATTAAACAGTAATAACTATATTAAACTGTAATAACTGTAGTAACTATAATAATTATATTGAACTGTAATTAAACTAATAAAACTGTAAAAACTGTAATAACAAGTATAACTATAAAAACTAATAACTGTAATTAAAATGTAAAAACTATATTAAACTGTACAAAAACTGTAATACCTGTAATAACTAATATAACTATAATAAACTGTAATAACTGTAATAACTTTAATAACTATAGTAACTGTAATAACGGTATCAAACTGTAATAAAACTGTAATAACTATATTTAACTGTAATTAAAACTGTAATTAAAACTGTAATAACTATAAAAACTATGACAACAATAAAAAACTATAATAACTATCATAACTGTAATAACCTGTAATAACTAATATAACTATAATAAACTGTAATAACTGTAATAATGGTATCAAACTATAATAAAACTGTAATAACTATATTTAACTGTAATTAAAACTGTAATAACTGTAATAACTATAAAAACTATGACAACAATAAAAAACTGTAATAACTATAATTAACTGTAATTAAAACTGTAATAACAAGTATAACTATAAAAACTAATAACTGTAATTAAAATGTAAAAACTATATTAAACTGTAATACCTGTAATAACTAATATAACTATAATAAACTGTAATAACTGTAATAACTATAATAACTATAGTAACTGTAATAACGGTATCAAACTGTAATAAAACTGTAATAACTGTAATAACTATAAAAACTATGACAACAATAAAAAACTATAATAACTATCATAACTGTAATAACCAAAATAACTGCAATAAAACAGTAATAACTATAAAAACTCAGGTAACTGTAATAACTGTACTATCACTGTACCCTGCACGACTATAATAAACTGTAATAAAACTGTTATAACACTGTAATAACTTAATTATTATAAAACTGTAATTACTATAATGTCTGTTTCCTGAAGACCTCTGCTGTTTGACCTCACTATCTGGAGATAAACTTGGTCTGCTCTGATCAGGAGAAACACACACACACACACTCAGATACGGTCCATTCAGAAGAGTCTCGCTCCTGTTCACAGACTGTAGTGATGATGATGACTCACAGCTGCTCTGACCAATCACAGAGCTGGTAGTGGCAGACCTCCATGAGACGTCACATGACAGCAGCAGAGCTCCTCCACCTCCTCCTCCTGCTGCAGGCCGACAGACATGAGGATAATCGACCACGACAGCCTGAACATGACCTACTTCTGAAGGTGGATCCTGCAGGAAAGACCGTCACCCTGAAAACCAGGCCTCCCCCGTCCGCCCTCCTCCCGCCCGTCCTCCCCCGCCCGTCCTCCCCCCCCCCCCACAGACAGATGTAATGGATGATGAGAGTGCAGCAGCTCAGGCTCTTCTGGTTTATGAGTGTGGTTCCTCTGGGTCAGTGGTTCTCTGATGGTCTGATCATGACCCAGCACGGCCTCCCTCCTCCTCCTCCTCTCTTCAGGTCGTTTCATTTCCTTCATGGTCAGCAGAGACGGCGTTCTCTGTAGTCCAGGACTTTAAATCTGTGTTTCTGCTTCCTGTCAGAGGTCACGACCCTCAGAGACATCACTGTCCTCCGTCCTCTTCCTTTTCTCAGCTCCAGCCTGCATGTCTCCGTGTTTCTGCAGCTTTTCTTCTTCTTCTTCTTCTTAAATGAACAAACTCCTGACAGTTGAGCAGACACACCTGAAGAGCGCCTGAAGAGCGCCTCAGTCCGGACTCCTTCTGGTCAAAATCTGAACCTCTTCATGTTCTTGGTCTGTCTGTCTGTCAGAATCACAGACTGTTTTTACTCTGGACTCCTCGGTTCCTCCTTCCTCCTGTTTACGGATTTGAAGCTGAAAAGTTCTCAGTAATTCTGCGTTTTTTCTTCATTTCCTGAAAACAACATTACGCAGTAGCATTGTACGCAGCGGCGGGAGGGTCACTGTGATGGCGCTCGGCTCAAACTACATGTCAACATCACAACCAGGGGGGAGAAACATTTATATTCTGTGTCATTCATTTATAAAGTTTGTCCACAGCTCCATAAGGAGGCGGGGTTTATGACCTATACTGCAGCCCGTCACCAGAGGGCGCTGTTCTCACAGAGGCAGACAGCGCCTATTCTAGATACAGTCTCTGGTTCTGATCCAGTTTTACAGACAGACGGTGTTACGGTATAAAACTCCCCCTGAGGCTCATGGTGGTTTGTGGTTTTTACAAACAAAGACTCTCTCAGTTTTTATCAGGACATGTTCCTGTTGACCTCAGACTGTTATTGAACGGAGATCAGATCAAACTGTTTGATTTATTCTTTTGTGGATCCAAACGATGAAAGTTTAGATCAAAAATAGACTGTGAATATATTTGGTCACATGTCTGTTTCCTGAAGACCTCTGCTGTTGGACTTCACTCTCTGGAGATAGACTTGGTCTGCTCTGATCAGGAGAAACATCTCATTGTTGAAAACCATGAGACCAGAGCAGAACCGGCCGTGTTCTCCTCACCCTTCAGGTTAGTTTGGTTCGGTTCTCGGTTGGTTTTGTGCTTGTGTAACTCATCATCGTGTATTAATAATAAAAAAAACAGTCAGAAGATAATAATAATAATTATATTTTATAATTTATCACAGAATAAATGAAATTAGGGAAGGAGAAGCTGAAGGACGGAGGCCCGGAACCTGTTTCCGCTGTTTTTCCTGTCGGTGTTTCCCGTCCAGAACCGGACATTATTTCAACAGCTCACGTTTAAAAGTGACAACATGAATATTCATGTTCAGTCTGAGCCTATAGCAGCCGTGGAGACAGGTGAGTCAAGGTTCAGGAAGACACACGGAAACACAGCTCAGAGGATCCGAGGCTGCCTTCAAAATAAAAGCACAGACTTTGACGGCTGAAAACTGGACCCTGACTTCCTGTCTGTATGAGAAGGACATAATCAAACAGTTTAATCAGCAGTCTGAGATTTCAGTGGTTCTCTTCTTTAAGGAGAGTCTGTTAGTCTGGGACCAAAGAAGTGATCTGTAGACCTGTTTTCTGATCAACCTAAATCAATCATCTAATCAATGGTCTGGAATGATCGATAAACTGTCATAGCAGCATTGTTTTAGTTTTGGTGTAAAGTTTACTGACACACTGACGGTCAAATTCAGCTTTAATAAAAATAAAAGTGTTGCTGCATTAATGTGTGTTTTTAATCGGGCTGGGACGATACGCTTTTCTCCCGATTCGATTCTTCTGCGATGTTTTGGATGCTGACTCGATTTAAATTGCGATTCTATGATATTGTCGATTTTCTTGATCTTTTGTCGGCATTTTTAACATCACTGGTCCCACCCCTTCTCCTACACCAAATGGTTTAAATAGTTATCATAATATTATAAAATAATTTTAATCATCATCATGATAAAAGCAATAAAAATAATCACCACTGTGAAAATAACAAAACACCAACATAATGACGATCATAGTTACTATGATTATATATCCCTGTATTCTGTGAAAACACATTCGTTATATTTGGTTTTTAACAGTTTTATGTTCAGACGTTGTTTTAACTCCTCACCGTACCCCCCACAGTCTCCCCCCACAGAGTGAAACCCAGAATTGTCTGCTTGTGTGGATTTTATAATAATAATAATAATAATAATAATAATAATAATAATAATAATAATAACAATATATTTTATTGATTAATTTTGAAGACTTCGACCCCCCTCCCGATCCCCAAACAAACTCTGTCTGTTTTGTGGTTGAAGGTGATTTTTTATGCATAATTTGTGCTGTTTGGAATTTCACAACCTCATTTAGACATGAACCCTTTTACTTTGAAACTCCGGACCGGAAGCCTCCTGTCCTCGGGTCGCCCAGCAGCAGCAGCAGCTTGACTCTCGGTTTCCTGCAGCTGCAGCCTGTAGGAGCGGCCGGTTCCTCCCAGAACCTTTTCTCTTCTCACAGCAGCAGCGGGGACTTTCGGACCGCACGCGCCGGATCTTGATCCTCCCGTTAAAACTGCTGAAGAAGCGCGAGACCAGGTGGACTCTCGAACCCGGGCTCGTGACTCCTCTCTCCGGGGCCTCCGTCGGTTTAATTTTGGTTTTTTTTGGACCTCCGGACTCTCTCTCTCTCTCTCTCTCTCTCTCTCTCCCTCCCTCCCTCCCTCTCTCTGTCTGTGGCGCACTCTCTCTCTCTCTCTCTCTCTCTCACCCCGACATGGTCGACTATCACGCCGCCAACAACCAGAGCTCCGCCGTCGGCGAAGGGCCGCCGACCTACATGGAACAGGAGAACGACTGGGACCGGGACCTGCTCCTGGACCCGGCCTGGGAGAAGCAGCAGAGGAAGGTAAGAGAACCGGAGAAGCGGGCCCAGCTGGGCCGAGAGGAACCGGGAGGGAGGAGGAGGAAGGGGAGGAGGAGGTGGAAAGAAAATGGCAGGATGGAGGGATGGGGAGTGGAGGAGGAGGAGGAGGAGGAGGTCAGACACCGAGAGAGAGAGAGAGAGCGGGCCTCCAAACCCCGCAGATACTCTAACCCGTCTGTGGCCCACTTTACTCCCACCGACCATGTTCTCCTCCCGGCCCGGTTCTCCTCTCGTCTGTCCTCCCCCCTTTGGGTCTCTCTGAACCCTCTTTTCTCTGTCCGGGAGCTTCTGACCCACATTGAGCTGCTTTTCCGGATCTTTGAGCGGAAACAGGCGAAAACAGCCGAGCAGAGCTGTCTGTGCGGACACGACAACAGTCCGACACTCGGGGGTGTAGTTTGATGTTTGGAGGGGGGAGTTTGTTGTCTAAAAGGTGTAGTTTGTAGTTTAAAGTGTGTAGTTTGTTGTGTGGAGTTTGTAGTTTGTGGTTTAGGGGTGTAGTCTGTTGTCTAAAAGGTGTAGTTTGTAGTCTGAAGGGTGTAGTTTGTTGTTGTAGTTTGAAGGGTGTAGTTTGTGGTTGTAGTTTGTAGTTTGAAGTTTGTAGTTTGAAGGGTGTAGTTTGTTGTGTGTAGTTTGAAGTTTGTAGTTTGTAGTCTGAAGGGTGTAGTTTGTTGTGTGTAGTTTGAAGTTTGTAGTTTGTAGTCTGAAAAGTGTAGTTTGTTGTGTGTAGTTTGAAGGGTGTAGTTTGTAGTTTGAAGGGTGTAGTTTGTAGTTTGAAGGGTGTAGTTTGTAGTTTGTAGTTTGAAGTTTGTAGTTTGTAGTTTGAAGGGTGTAGTTGGGTTTCTAACTCCGCCCTGCCCCACCTCTCTCTCTGGTTCGTCTGTTGGTGTTCAGACCAATAAGATCACTCTAAGTGAGTTTGAAGTTAACTCTACACCCACATCCTCCAGTTTAACTCCATCTGGACTCTTCATGCTCCAACCAAACGACACGTTAGAAAGTTCACAACGTGAAATTAATCAATAACCTTCTACGAACTTCTGTGTTCGTCTTCTGTGCCGAGATCGTAAAACGCCGACGCTTCATCGTTATTGGTCCCTGCAGCTCACTTCTGCTGTAACTTTTTTATTTGCATCTTTTTATTTTTGCAGTGAGAAACTTTTTTTATTTCTTCGGCCACTTTTTTCTGGTCGTTACCTTCCCTGTTGTTTTTGTTTTTTTGCAGCAGTGACGGTTCTCAGCCGTCGTAGAAAAGTGTAAAATACATTAAAAAAACACATGAATGTGAAGAAGTGACTGTTACTGAGGGACAGGGAAGGTGAGGGATACGGCTCAACTTACCCCGCTCCTATGGTCAACTTACCCCCCCATACCCGGGGTAAGTTGACCATAGGAGACCCTGTTGTTGTCCTGCTCTCCTCTGAAGATGACAGTTCTGTTTACTCTCATTCTGATGAAGAACTTCCTGAAATATCTGCAGAGACACGAGTCAGAGACTAAACTAGGACTGACCTGATGGACTGATCCGGACACACGGATCATCTTAACCCGCTCTCCCCTACTGCAGTATTATTAAGACGGAGGCGTCCTCCTGTCTCTGAGACAGGTCCCCCTTCTGAACGTGGTCTTTGGACTGTTGGTTGATAGTGGACCAGGTCTGGGTGTTGGGTCTGATCCTCTTCAATATTTGCTCCTTGTCTTCCTGTGTTTGTAAATCAGGCTGTGACACTCTCTCTGCTTGTCTGACAGGTCAGGTGAAAAGAAAAGTCATTATTTGGATTAGTCGTCCTGCTCCGTCAGCTGACGGGGTTAAACGGGCCGCCCCTCTCTCTCTCTTTCTCTCTCTCTCTCTCTCTCTCTCTCTCTCTCTCTCTCTCTCTCTCCCTCTCTCTCTCTCTCTCTCTCTCTCTCTCTCTCTCTCTCTCTCTCTCTCTCTCTCTCTCTCTCTCTCTCTCTCTCTCTCTCTCTCTCTCTCTCTCTCTAACACACCTGTCAGTGTTGTTGTTGTTCAGGTTCGATATTGTTCATATTCTCTGACAAACAAGTTTCTGCAGCAGCTTCACTCACACTTTCACATTTCTCTGCACTGAGCTGAACGCCCACTCACTCTCTCACTCACTCACTCAGCGAGGAGGAGGAGGACGGTGAGGAGGAGGAGGAGGAGGAGGAGGAGGAGCTGCTGCTGCAGATTTTAGCTCCAGGGAAACTCTGCTGCATAAATATTTAGACACTAAATAAGACTGAAGATCTCAGCTGCACATATGCCACAGCGATCATTCATCAGCAATCATCACACCTCTGCACCGACACAAACATCCACCTCCTCCTCTGCTGCTCCTCCTCCTCCTCCTCCTGCTGCTCCTCTTCATGATGATCCTTGTGTAACTACAGTCTAAAGTCAGAAACACGTCCGCTGACCTCGCTGACCTCGCTCTGTGACATCGATAATGACATTCAGGTCCTGAAGGTTCAGTCAGACCGAGTCTCACCTGAAGAAGAGCAGAACCGAGCAGAACCGAGCAGAACCGAGCAGAACCGAGCAGAACCGAGCAGAGCAGTGTGGAATGATTGACAGGGTGTGTGTTCATGAGTGTGTGTGTTTATGAGAGTGTGTTGATCTTATTCTCTAACATCAGGATGACTGTCATACTTTGGAGAGGTGTGTGTTAATGTGTGTGTATTGATGTGTGTGTGTGTGTGTGTTTAAGTGTGTGTTTGTGTGTGTTGTGTGTGTTTAAGTGTGTGTTTAAGTGTGTGTGTGTTGTGTGTGTTAATGTGTGTGTTTGTGTGTGTGTAGTGTGTGTTTAAGTGTGTGTGTGTGTGTGTTGTGTGTGTTAATGTGTGTGTTTGTGATTGTGTGTTTAAGTGTGTGTTTGTGTGTGTGTTTAAGTGTGTGTTTGTGTGTGTGTTTGTGATTGTGTAGCTCTTCTCCTCTCACGTTCAGATGACTGTCATTTCTCGGCGTGGCGTGACAGCACGCCGAGCTCTGATCCTGCGTTTTGATTGGCTGACTCAGCGTTATTATGGTGGTGGACTTCACTCAGACCTGCTGTAGATCCGGTCCGGTCCCTGGTGGGCCGGTTCCTGGACTGTGAGGACTCTCTGTCAGGGTCAAAGTTTCTGATCCGTCAATCATTAACGCTGGAGCTGGTTGTGTAAAGAGAGGAGGCGTGTCTCCTGACTGCGAACGGGACAGGCTGGGGACATGTTCCCCCCCCCCCCCCGCCGAGCTGGAGCGGAGCCGCCGCCGGCCCCCAGCGAGGGGGGGGGCAACCAAGGGCAAATTCCTGCGGTGTATTCAGTGTGCCAGTTATTGCGCAAAAGTGAGAGAGAGAGAGAGAGAGAGGGAGAGAGAGAGAGAGAGAGAGAGGGGGAGAGAGAGAGAGAGAGAGAGAGAGAGAGAGAGAGAGAGAGAGAGAGAGAGAGAGAGAGAGAGAGAGAGAGAGAGAGAGAGAGAGAGAGAGAGAGAGAGAGAGAGAGAGAGAGAGAGAGAGAGAGAGAGAGAGAGAGAGAGAGAGAGAGAGAGAGAGAGAGAGAGAGAGAGAGAGAGAGAGAGAGAGAGAGAGAGAGAGAGAGAGAGAGAGAGAGGGAAGGAAACAGAGAGAGAGAGAGAGAGAGAGAGAGAGAGAGAGAGAGAGAGAGAGAGAGAGAGAGAGAGAGAGAGAGAGAGAGAGAGAGAGAGAGAGAGAGAGAGAGAGAGAGAGAGAGAGAGAGAGAGAGAGAGAGAGGGAGAGAGCGAACTCCTCCCGCAGGACGACCGAGAGAAGAGTTAATGTAATGAGTGTGGGAACGAGACCGCCGACCCCGAAGACTGAAGGGGCGGAGCCTGAGAGAGGTCAACGACAGGAGCCCAGGAGAGGGAGAGAAAGAGAGAGAGAGAGAGAGAGAGAGAGAGAGAGAGAGAGGGAGAGAGAGAGAGAGAGAGACTATTTATTCATTTAATATTTCATATTATTATAATTCTTCTCCTTCTTCTTCTTCTTCTTCTTCTTCTTCTTCTACTGATTGTGATTCTCCGGCCGTGTCGTTCAGACAGTCATGCTAATAAAGTTTCTTGAAATTGAAGACAGAGTTCAGGTCCTGGTCCACGATAGTCTGATCCAGTATCTGAGGAGGTCCACCTCTTTGAACCTCATCTGATCCAGTTCTCAGGGTGTCCTGGTGTCAGGACAGGGACTGGATGTAGTCCCTGAATCCCATCTCCTCTATCTGAGTAGAACCAGAACCAGAACCAGAACCAGAGTGCCCTGTATGGTCATGGTTCTGGAGTGATCGGAGAGTTCGTTCATTTCCAGTTCAACAGAGAAACAGAATTAAAGGTTCGATAAAAAAACGACTAAATAAAAGATTAAAATCTAAAATCTGTTTCTGTGACGAACTCTGAACTTCAGAGAAGAAGAAGAAGAAGAAGACCCGGTTCAGACTTTGTCACGTTCAGGGACAGGGTTTTAGCTGCAGACCCAGACCCCCCTCTTGTTGGACTCTCTGGGGTTTGGAGGACTCGTCCCTCTCACGGTCGTTCAGATCGCCGGCGTCCTTTCAGCCCGTCTCCAGTTGTCCATTTTGAACATTTTTCACACTCCAGAGTTCCTGGACGGAGACCAGCAGAGTCCAGTTCCCTGCAGTGAGTTCCAGACCCGGCTCCTCCCTGACAAACCTGTTATTAAGTCTTTTCTCACCGCTCCTGATCCACCACACGTTCAGACATGTCCAAGAACGCCGTGACGCCGCCGCCACCGCCGCAGCAGCAGCAGCAGCTTTTTATTGGGACTCTGGGCAGCATGCAAATCTGCTGCTGCAGGGTGACAGTTAGACGTGTTTGTCCTGGTGTTCACAGAGAGGAGGAGGAGGAGGAGGAGGAGGAGAGGAGGAGGAGAGGAGGAGGAGAGGAGAAGGGAGAGAATGAGGAGGAGAGGAGGAGGAAGAGGAGGAGAGGAGGAGGACTCCTGCTGAAGAGCCGGGAGCACACGCTGATTGATCAGTTTGGTTTATTTTGAACTCCGTTAACTTTAGTCGTCGCTCTTCATCCTGAAATCTACATTTACACTGAACTCTCCGTCTCAGTGCAAAGACACAACAACAACAACAACAACACAAACACAACACAACAACAACAACAACAACAACAACACAACAACACAAAAACAACAACAACAACAACAACAACACAAAAACAACAACAACACAACAACAATGAGACAAAATCAACAACAACAACACAAACACAACGACAACACAACAACAACATGAAAACAACAACAACACAAAAACAACAACAACACAAAAACAACAATAACACAACAACAACGACAACAACAACACAAAAACAACAACAACAAAACTACAACAACACAAACAGCAGACACTTCGTCTGCGTTCTCTCTGCAGGTTCTGATCCACAATTCCGATTTTTCTGTTCAATCCGATCTTTTTGTGCGTCGTTCACATTATAACAACGACTGCGTCCGTGAAGTGACCCTCATGAACACAAATATCTCCCCGCTCCTGTTTGTGTCGATCGATGGTGACGTTTGTCTCATATTGATGATGTAAAGGTCGATGAACTCGACCTGAGCGTCACACTGCAGTCACATCAGATACATATCTGACTTATATCCACATACAGAAGAGGGTCGGATCAGAACCAATCAGAACTGACCTGTTCACACTGAACGCAGACTCACTACTGGACCTTATTTTCACAGAGAAGTTCAGAAATAATCAGATGTTCAAATTTTCCTCAGAACTGAATTAATTTACAGATAATTCCCAATAATCAGACTGATTGATCGTCTAAAGTGGTTCCATGTCGATGAAGATCTGTTGGATGTTCTTCACTCCATCTTTACTTCTGTATTCGTGGTGTTCTTGGATGATACGTCCTGGTAGAGCGTTCCCTCTCGCCGTGGTCCTGAACGTGACCGGACCTTCATCTCGTTTGTCCTGATGAAGTTCTGAGAAGAGCTGATTGATAAGAACTCGTCCCTCCGACCCGACCCGACCCGCTCCTCCAGATCCGGTCTGCAGACATGGTCCTAAAAACCATCAGCAGACCAAGTTCCTGAAGAGTTGTGGTTCTCGGTTCCCTTTCCTGTCAGGTCTGTGGCGCTCACTGCAGCCGTGGCGGCGGCGGTGGCGTTGGGTGTTGTGGTCACGGACTCTGATGTTATCTCTCCTCATTTCCCTAAACTGACGGCGTCTGTGTGTTTGCACTGACCTGATTGGAGCAGACTGACAGACTGAAGCAGCTGTAGGTGATGGAGGAGGTCAGGACCAGATTTCAGACCCTGGACCAAACGTGCTCCAGGTCCAGGTCCAGGTTGGTCCTCTGCAGCCGGTCTCCATGGAGACGTGTGTCAGGGTTGGTGTTCAGCTCAGTCCTCCGTGGTTACTGTAAGACTGTGTTTGTATTCGGCCGCCATGACACGCCCTGGTGGCGCCCAGACTTCAGGTGGGCGGCAGGACACAATGTCAGTTTGTTCTTCCCCGCCCACTGCCACGTGCTTTTTGTGGGCGGAGCCGGGTCAGATGGCCGGGGTCGACTCAGGACGGGTCGGCAGTGACATTTCTGTCAGGACAAATGGACCAAACCACGACTCCTGCCGGGGTCACTGAGCACGCTCAGATGGCACACAGTCATGAACATGTTGTTATAGATCCACAGACTGACCTGCAGGGGTCGCTCTAAAAATACAGACATGAAGAAAACTCACCTGTGTGTGTCTGTGTCTGTGTGTGTCTGTGTGTGTGTGTGTGTGTGTCTGTACTCACCTGTGTGTGTGTCTGTGTGTGTGTCTGTGTGTGTGTGTGTGTGTGTCTGTACTCACCTGTGTGTGTGTGTGTGTGTCTGTGTGTGTCTGTGTGTGTCTGTACTCACCTGTGTGTCTGTGTGTGTGTCTGTGTGTCTGTGTGTGTGTCTGTGTGTCTGTGTGTGTGTCTGTGTCTGTGTGTGTGTGTCTGTCCTCACCTGTGTGTGTCTGTGTGTGTGTGTGTGTGTGTGTGTCTGTCCTCACCTGTGTCTGTGTGTGTCTGTGTGTGTGTGTGTGTGTCTGTCCTCACCTGTGTCTGTGTGTGTCTGTCCTCTCAGGTGTGTTGTTTGGACGTGTTGACACTCGTCACAGTAACTCTGCAGGTTTTCAGACTTTAACGCTGAAGAGACTGAATCCAGAATCTGATCCTGAAAAACAGAAGCTGGATTTATGAACATGTTTGTGTGTTTGTTTAAAGGGATATTCTGTCATTAAATTAATTTAGGGTCAAACCCACCGTAACACCGAGTTAGACTCCGCCCCCCTCCAGAGATGAATGTTGTCGACCGCTTCCTTCTCTAGTTATACCAACTTTAGTAACGACCGCAGGATAGAAATACAGAGAGCCACGCCCCCAACCAAAACGCCACTCTATAGAGAGACCTCAGGCCAGTCCATTACGGACTACAGCGGGGTGCCGCAGCTCAAGGAAGAACATTTATGATCATTTCTTCATCATTTCCTTGAAGTAATAATCACCATATTGATCATTTTACAGACACGGTAGTTCTTCTGTCTTAGCGTCTCGGTCTGATTGTATTTCCATGAAGAAATGATCATAAATGTTCTTCCTTGAGCTGCAGCACCCCGCTGTAGTCCGTAATGGACTGGCCTGAGGTCTCTGTACAAACAAGCGTCTGCTGGAAGAGAGTAGGTGAGTTGTGTTTAGTCTCTTTGCTAAAGAAATGAGTCAAAGTTAAAAAGATGTTTGGTGTCTAGTACTATGTCTGTGACCCTATATGTCCTGTTGATGAAGTTAGGTGCTGTTCTGAGCATTATTTGTGGCTATAGAGTGGCGTTTTGGTTGGGGGCGTGGCTCTCTGTATTTCTATCCTGCGGTCGTTACTAAAGTTGGTATAACTAGAGAAGCAAGCGGTCGACAACATTCATCTCTGGAGGGGGGGTCTAACTCGGTGTTACGGTGTGTTTGACCCTGAATTAATTTTACACGGACTATCCCTTTAAGTGTGTGTTTATTTTTTGTGTTTGTTTGACGGACTGAAAACCGTTTTTGCGGTCCTCCTGGTCTTGGTGCAGACCCCCTTGATGTGGACCTTGGTGTGTGACCCTTCAGGGTCCTAGATAAGGGGCCTCTGGGGGTCCCTCTCGGTCAGCTGATTCCAGGTCAGCTGTGGGAAAACCCTCCGCCTCAGTTGACGGCGATCCAGGATCAGGATCAGCCGTGGACCTAAACAACGAAGCAGGCAGCCAGTGAGCGAGCGAGCGAGCGAGCAGAGAGAGAGAGAGAGAGAATGTGTGCCCCCCCCCCCCCCCCCCGTCTCCCCCCCGTCTCCCCCCCCCCGTCTCCCCCTCTGTTGTCTCTCTGTTCTTCCATCAGCGGCGGCGGTGAGAGAGCATGCAGGGGGAAACATTCCTTTGGTGGCCCAGTATGGCGGCCTGGGCCGGTGGGAGGGGTCTTCCTCCTCAAAGAGGGCGGGGTGTCCTGCTTTCCTCTCAGAGTCGGGGGTTTGCAGGATTGCAGAGGTGGTCTCTGCGGTGCCGAGGAGGAGGGGGGGGATCCTCTTTTGGGGGCAGAGGGCGCTCCCGGGGGGGGGGGGGTTCCAGCTGGTCACGATCTGGAGGAAGTCACGGCGCCGACGGCGGCTCAGAATCTTTGTTTGGAGAAATGTTTTCAGACGCCAACACCCGGAGAGAGATTTGACTGAACAGCTGTTTGATTGGTTCACTTTCTGACCACTGCAGCTCAGCGTCCAATCAGCTGAGAGCTTGTTAAAGGAGCGTGTAGCTGAGGGCCGGGATTGGCTGCAGGTCTGTGTGGAGGAGGAGCCGAGTGTGTGTGTGTTTTCTTCACGGTCTGATTCCCTCACACACTGTGTCTGTGTGTGTGTGTGGGGGGGGTCCTCTCCTGGTTGCAGCGGCGGCGTTCACAGGCGTGCTCGTTCTTTGGTTAGAACCTGCTCCAGTCACCTCCTCATGGTCCTCATAGACCTCATAAGTCCTGAAACCCTGTCCCTAAACTAGAACTAAAGAACGGTAAAGACCACCAGGTGACAGTCAGAGCCTCTCTAAGTGAATACATCTACGTAACAGTATCTGTGAGTGTGCAGCATCTATGTTTGAATACATCTATCTAACAGTATCTGTGAGTGTGCAGCATCTATGTTTGAATACATCTATCTTTAACAGTATCTGTGAGTGTGCAGCATCTATGTTTGAATACATCTATCTAACAGTATCTGTGAGTGTGCAGCATCTATGTTTGAATACATCTATCTTTAACAGTATCTGTGAGTGTGCAGCATCTATGTTTGAATACATCTATCTTTAACAGTATCTGTGAGTGTGCAGCATCTATGTTTGAATACATCTATCTTTAACAGTATCTGTGAGTGTGCAGCATCTATGTTTAAATACATCTATCTTTAACAGTATCTGTGAGTGTGCAGCATCTATGTTTGAATACATCTATCTTAGAGTATCTGTGAGTGTGCAGCATCTATGTTTGAGTACATCTATCTTTAACAGTATCTGTGAGTGTGCAGCATCTATGTTTGAATACATCTATCTTTAACAGTATCTGTGAGTGTGCAGCATCTATGTTTGAATACATCTATCTAACAGTATCTGTGAGTGTGCAGCATCTATGTACCCCAGCTCTCTGCACAGCTCAGTATTTTTGGAAACCTCGGTGATCAGAGGTTAAAAATTCAGCGAACATCTAATCATAAATATCTGAGCGAGACGCCGAACTCTTCTGAGCGGCGGTCTGACCAGAGACGAAAACAGCTGATGGTTTCAGGGGCTGAAGATAGACCAGCACCTTTAGAGGGTGTGAGTGTGTGTGTGTGTGTGTGTGTGTGTGTGTGTGTGTGTGTGTGTGTGTGTGTGTGTGTGTGTGTGTGTGCTCTGACTGTTAAATTCACAGAAATGCAGAGGTGTTGGTTTGTTGGTTTTAAGCTGAAAGAGAAACTTCGACACAGGACCCGAGTATAGAGCTATAGAGTATAGAGCTATAGAGTATAGAGCTATAGAGTATAGAGCTATAGAGTATAGAGCTAAAACCTGCAGCATGTGTATTTGGAGCGTAACGGCAGCGTCTCGTATCTCGCAGTCAATAAGTTTCCATCCTAATCAATACAGTCAATAAGTTTCCATCCTGATCGATACCGTAAAGCGTGCAGGACGTGTCTCAGCTCCATCACAGCATCGTATCGAGAGCAGCTCTGCTAAAGATTCGCGGTGGCGAGTCGATTTTTGCTGATCTACGTTTCCAACGAGCGCCAATCTACGCAGAGAAGATCGCCGAGTCCTTCAAACACAGAACTGGGGTCCAAACGGGTCCAAACGGGTCCACAGAAACAGGGGTCAGGTGGTCTTTGGGATGATGGAGTGTTTAAGGTTGTCCTCAATCTGGACTCTGGAGACCAACATCTGTTAGACCCCCCCCCCCCCCCAGATTAGAGCTCAGAGGATTAAGTCCAGATCTGATCTGACACAGATCTGAGACTCACTGATCACATGATCACAGACCCGGACCTGCAGGTGGTGGGTGGGGGGGTCGGGTCACAGAGCTAAAGGTCTTTGGAGTCCAGCATCATAGACAGTCTAACACTAGATCTCTCTCTGGACTCTCTGCTGGGGTCTGACAGCACCTCAGCCAAGGAGGATGATGGGATTTGTAGGCAGCAGGTTAGTGTGTGTGTGTGTGTGTGTGTGTGTGTGTGTGTGTGTGTGTGTGTGTGTGTGTGTGTGGTCTCTGGTTTCTCCTCTTGTATTATTGAAAACCTTCAAACTGGGGCACTGGGTGAGGAGGTGAAGAGGAGGAGGAGCAGGAGGAGGAGAGGCCTGCTGGGACACACAAAACCTTCAAAGAAGAACCTGACCCACAATCTCCACCACATCCGCCAATTCCTACTGGATCTGTTTGTGAGGTGAATTTCATAGCAGATTACAGACAGCAGGAACAACAAGAACCTTCAGATTCACGTTCAATCTAACGAGTCGTCTCTCTAAAGACAGACACATAGACATATAAGCAGTAGATTGTGTCCTTCCAGAGGAGGAAATCTACTTCTAGACTTCTAGAATCAGCATCTCCTCATCCATGGTGTCATCGGGGTGAAATGACGTCTAAAAACCTTTCACTTGTTCGTCTCCGCCCGTTTGCATGGTGTGAAATACGATCCTCCTGAAAAACGGAGTTTTTTATTTTGAAAAGAAGCAGGATGTTTTATTTTGAAGTCTGTGCCCGACTTCCTCTCCAGCACGGGTTCATCTGTGCTGAATTTATCCGGGTTAGGAGCTCCACCTCCTGGCTGGCTTCGATGACTCTCATGTAGACCTCCTGCTCCTCCTCCCTGACCTCCTCAGATCTTTGTTTTTATCTGCAGGTTTGGATTAAAAATGGAACCAGGACCTCCTTGTGAGGTTGAGTCTGTAGATCTTCTCTCCAGGTTTGGTGTCTGCAGAAGCTCCTGGTGGAGCTGACATCAACATGAAGTCTGCAGAGGTTCCTCCAGGTTCCTCCAGGCTCCTCTGCTCTCGTTGAACATGAGGAGGCTCAGCTCTCTCCTGCTCCACACTCAGTTTTTCTGTGTTTGTGAGAGATCTAGTCAGTCTAGCTCTGGGGCTTCTTATCTGGTTTTCAGGATCTAGGTTTTATAGATCATCAGAAAATGAAGCTTCTTAGATCCTCCTCTAAAATCTCTGATCCGAGTTTTCATGTGTACTGTCGTTACCATGGCAACGCGGTCTGAGTTAGCTCGGCTGTAAAAGAAGGATGAGGAGGAGAGAGAGAGAGAGAGAGAGAGAGAGAGAGAGAGAGAGAGAGAGAGAGAGAGAGAGAGAGAGAGAGAGAGAGAGAGAGAGAGAGGAGAGAGAGAGAGAGAGAGAGAGAGAGAGAGAGAGAGAGAGAGAGAGAGGAGAGAGAGAGAGAGAGAGAGAGAGAGTGACAGGCTGAAGTGTTGAAGGTTCCTGGTCTGATAACTTTCATGTGTTCATAATGACAGAGTGAATCCAGGTTTAGGACCAGGACAGAAGTCCAGGTCTTGGTTTGAAGGGGGACTCGAGGACTAGACTGGTCTATCTTCTGCTGCTCCGCCCTGGAGTCTAAATGTGGGTCAGGAAGTCCTCCCCTCAGCTAAGTCCTCTTTCCTGTCTGATCCAATCAAAGCGAGACACCCCCCCCCCCCCCGGTCCTGGTCCTGGTCTGACTCACGGCGCTGTGGGGGGGACATGAAGGGTTAACCCCGACTTCTTCACCCTCAGGGAGCTCAGCACTCTGCCGCCGTGGAGACGTGACGGTTTGTGGCCGCGGCGTTTCCTGAAACTGATGACTGTTCTCACGCCGCTGACAGTTCTGCACACGCTCAGTGCTGAGAGAGAGAGAACCTGCAGAGGTGTCGATGTTCATGTTGGTTGGACGGGTTCAGACACCAGAACCGTTTTAAACCTGCTAAAAATAAGACGGTGTAGTCTTCCTGCGGTTGCTAGGCAACAGGCCGCCTGGCGCAGGGTTGTACTCTGAATGTGAGGCTTCAAACGATGTGTCAGCGTTCCTCAATGAAACTCGGGTCAGAGGAGAAACAGCTGATCATCAGGACCAGAGCGTGAAGGTCCAGGTTCTTCTTCAGGTTCTGCAGAACCTCCAGAACTTCTTCTTCTTCTACTTCAGGAAGAGAAAACGACCGTTAAACGGAGGAAACCAGGGCGAGGGCGAGAAACAGAGGCGTGAACGTGAGAGAGGAAGTTCAGCCTTTCATCACCTGACACCTTCTCACACACACACACACACACAGAAACACACACACACACACACACAGAGAAACACACACACACACACACAGACACACACAGAGAAACACACACACACAGAGAAACACACACATACACACACACACAGAAACACACACACACACACACAGAGAAACACACACACAGAGAAACACACACAGAAACACACACACAGAGAAACACACACACACACACAGAGAAACACACACAGAGAAACACACACTCCTGCGCGCTAACAGCCTCCTCTTTAACCTTTAAAAATGCTCACAGAGTTACTGAAGAGAGCAGGTCAAACACACACACACACACACACACACACACACACACACAGAAACACACACACACACACACACACACCTGAGAAAAAAACAGGAAGCTCTGCCTTTGATGAGGAGTGGGCGGAGTCTAACCCTTTGAGCGGGAAAAGCTCTGAATCCTAAAAATCGTCTTTATTGATCGAAGTTAATAATCAGTGTGTGAAACTCTGAGCTGGCTGCAGAACTGTGTGTGTGTGTGTGTGTGTGTGTGTATGTGTGTGTGTGTGTGTGTGTGTGTGTGTGTGTGTGTGTGTGTGTGTGTGTGTGTGTGTGTGTGTGTGTGTGTGTGTGTGTGTGTGTTTGTCAGGCAGGCGTTGGGTCAGTGAGTCATGCCGCCATAAAGGGCCGGGTTAACTCTGGAATGTGTGACAGAGCCGGACCGGGGGGGGGGTTGGCTAGACGTGTGTGTGTGTGTGTGTGTGTTTGTGTGTGTGTGTGTGCGTGTTTGTGTGTGCGCGTGAGTGTGTGTGTGTGTGTTTTGTATGGGTCATCAACAAACGGAAACTCAGAGGAACAAACAAAGTGCCGCTCCTTGTTCTGGTGTTCTGGAGTTCTGTCTGTTCTGGTGTTTTGGGTCTGGACCCTGTCAGAGTCTTTACGAGTCCTCCTTCCAGGACCAGGAAGTCCTCCAGAGGGATCTGCAGGATCTGGACTTGAGACTTTGTCCCCCATGAAGTGGTTAGAGTTTTTACAGGAGTGTTTTTCAGGAAGTGCCTTTCCTTCTTAGGACGTCCTTCCTGATTGAGGTGTGTGACCACGTTAGTGTTTGTTCGTTTGTTGACGTGTTTCTTACTTCAGTTTCATCAGGCAGAAACAGAATGAGTCCGATCACAATAGCTACACAATAACTACACAATAACTGCACAATAATAACACAATAACTACACAATAACTACACAATAATAACAATAACTACACAATAACTACACAATAACTACAGAATAACTGCACAATAATAACACAATAACTACACATTAATGACGAACAAACAAACATGTTTAGTCAGACGAACATTTCAACGCTTTCATTTTATCTGAGGGAAAAACATTTGAACAAGAAATCTTTACTTTAACAGTACTACAACAGTACTACAACAGTACTACAACAGTACTATAACAGTACTATAACAGTACTACAACAGTACTATAACAGTACTATAACAGTACTACAACAGTACTATAACAGTACTATAACAGTACTACAACAGTACTACAACAGTATTATAACAGTACTACAACAGTACTACAACAGTACTACAACAGTACTATAACAGTACTACAACAGTACTACAACAGTACTACAACAGTACTACAACAGTACTTTAACAGTACTACAACAGTACTACAACAGTACTACAACAGTACTATAACAGTACTATAACAGTACTACAACAGTACTACAACAGTACTATAACAGTACTATAACAGTACTACAACAGTACTACAACAGTACTTTAACAGTACTACAACAGTACTACAACAGTACTACAACAGTACTTTAACAGTACTTTAACAGTACTACAACAGTACTACAACAGTACTATAACAGTACTACAACAGTACTACAACAGTACTATAACAGTACTACAACAGTACTACAACAGTACTACAACAGTACTACAACAGTACTTTAACAGTACTACAACAGTACTACAACAGTACTATAACAGTACTACAACAGTACTACAACAGTACTACAACAGTACTATAACAGTACTACAACAGTACTACAACAGTACTACAACAGTACTACAACAGTACTTTAACAGAACTACAACAGTACTTTAACAGTACTATAACAGTACTACAACAGTACTATAACAGTACTATAACAGTACTTTAACAGTACTATAACAGTACTATAACAGTACTACAACAGTACTATAACAGTACTATAACAGTACTACAACAGTACTACAACAGTACTATAACAGTACTACAACAGTACTACAACAGTACTTTAACAGTACTATAACAGTACTTTAACAGTACTTTAACAGTACTACAACAGTACTACAACAGTACTACAACAGTACTACAACAGTACTTTAACAGAACTACAACAGTACTTTAACAGTACTATAACAGTACTACAACAGTACTATAACAGTACTATAACAGTACTTTAACAGTACTATAACAGTACTATAACAGTACTACAACAGTACTATAACAGTACTATAACAGTACTACAACAGTACTACAACAGTACTATAACAGTACTACAACAGTACTACAACAGTACTTTAACAGTACTATAACAGTACTTTAACAGTACTTTAACAGTACTACAACAGTACTACAACAGTACTACAACAGTACTACAACAGTACTTTAACAGTACTACAACAGTACTTTAACAGTACTATAACAGTACTACAACAGTACTATAACAGTACTATAACAGTACTTTAACAGTACTATAACAGTACTATAACAGTACTACAACAGTACTATAACAGTACTATAACAGTACTACAACAGTACTACAACAGTACTATAACAGTACTACAACAGTACTACAACAGTACTTTAACAGTACTACAACAGTACTACAACAGTACTACAACAGTACTTTAACAGTACTACAACAGTACTACAACAGTACTATAACAGTACTACAACAGTACTACAACAGTACTATAACAGTACTACAACAGTACTACAACAGTACTACAACAGTACTACAACAGTACTTTAACAGTACTACAACAGTACTACAACAGTACTATAACAGTACTACAACAGTACTACAACAGTACTACAACAGTACTATAACAGTACTACAACAGTACTACAACAGTACTACAACAGTACTACAACAGTACTTTAACAGAACTACAACAGTACTTTAACAGTACTATAACAGTACTACAACAGTACTATAACAGTACTATAACAGTACTTTAACAGTACTATAACAGTACTATAACAGTACTACAACAGTACTATAACAGTACTATAACAGTACTACAACAGTACTACAACAGTACTATAACAGTACTACAACAGTACTACAACAGTACTTTAACAGTACTATAACAGTACTTTAACAGTACTTTAACAGTACTACAACAGTACTATAACAGTACTATAACAGTACTTTAACAGTACTACAACAGTACTACAACAGTACTACAACAGTACTTTAACAGTACTATA